AAGGGAGAAGCTGGGAATTATCAGGGAGGTTTCAGAGCTGAATTTCGGGGTCAGGAGGGATGGGATCCCACGGGACAGGAGTTTGGGGGTGGCCGGGCGCTGTCCCCCAGTAACGCCCCTCTCTTACTGGTCCAGCAGCACTGGATTTACTGGGGCCGAGTGACCTCTGCTGGTTCACACTCAAAATATTCCCTGCGAGCCGATGATACGCATGGATTTCGGGGCAGCTCGGTGGGGTTTGGGGAAATTTTAGGGCAGCTTTTCAGAGAGGTGTCAGCATTTGCCCAGCTAGGAGGGATGAGCCTGACCCACTCCCTGGAGCTGGGAGTGAAGGAAAGCACGGCCCCAGCTTGGAAATGCATTTAAAGCCGAGCTTTAATACACCAAATTTAACAGGATTTGCAGAGCTGAGACCTTGGAGAGGGATCCCTCCTACGTTAAGGAGTCTAATGTGGTGAAAATAAGGACTTCGGGAGCTCTGGAACTGAACAAAAGTGTTCAGGCTGGAAGGGGCCAGAAAAAAAAAATTAAATAAATGAAATAAAATTCCTCTTTCAGATCAGGCAGCTTAGGAAAGGAGGGCAGGGGAGGAAGAAATACTAATTTAAGGGCAAAACTGTTGCTCGAATTTTTCATAAAATTACATTAAAAGTAATACAATGTGTGGGTGACAATCTTTTTACTGAGGTGTGTTCTGTGGTTACATACATGCATATTGCACCAAATTTACAGGAAGAAAAATAAAAGTCTGTTCTATGAAGTAAAAAATAAAATTAAAAAAAGTAAGGTTATAAACCCACAAACAACTAATAATGTTGGAAGTAGTGATTTTAAATTTTAGCAAAGAGTGAGACTGAAAATTAACCCTTCAAAGTCTTTAATTGGAAAAACTTTAATTTCTTCTGTGCTCTCGGGACAGAGCTGTACCAGAGTCCCGGTATGGTTTGGGGTGGAAGGGACCTTAAATCCATCCCAGCCCAGCCCTGCCATGGCAGGGACACCTTCCACCATCCCAGGCTGCTCCCAGCCCTGCCCAGCCTGGCCTTGGGCACTGCCAGGGATCCAGGGTGGGCACCCTGTGCCAGGGCCTGCCCACCCTGCCAGGAACAATTCCTGCCCAATCTCCCACCCAGCCCTGCCCTCTGGCACTGGGAGCCATTCCCTGTGTCCTGTCCCTCCAGCCCTGGCCCCCAGTCCCTCTCCAGCTCTCCTGGAGCCCCTTCAGGCCCTGCCAGGGGCTCTGAGCTCTCCCTGGAGCTTCTCCTCTCCAGGGCAGCACCCCCAGCTCCCCCGGCCATGTCCCGCCCCTGGGGCAGCTCCCCCGGCCGGGGTCGCTCCCGGTACTTCGGACAATTCTGACCCTCCCGGCCGCCGTCCCGCGCCACCGCCCCTCCCCTCCGCCCTGCCCCTCACATGACAGCGGTGGGTGTGCGCCGCGATGCACGCTGGGAGTTGTAGTCCACGCCGCGGGGCGCGCACCGGCGGCGGCTACTGGCGGGACTCTGCTTCCCAGCGCGCCCCGCGGCGGCCCGGGGGGAGCGGGACCGGGCGCTCGCTGAGGTGGGCGCGGGGGGATCGGGCCGGGGGCGGCATGGGCGGAGGGGACGCGGGCTGGGGAGGGGGAGCGCGGGCGGGGGGAACTGGGGGCCGGGAGGGGGAGCTGAGGGCCGGGGGGTGCCGGGGAGCGGGGAGCCTGGGGCATGAGGGGAGCAGGGCGCCGGGAGTGGGGGGAGCGGGCGGCGGGGAGGGTCGCGGGTGGTCTCGGTGTGAGGGGCCGTGACTCTCCCTCGGTGACGGGGCAGCTCCGGGGACGGCTGGGCTGGGCGAGGTACCGGGGCAGGGCCGGTGCGGGGAGGAATCGGGGCAGCCCCGGGAGGAGCCGCTGTCGGGAGGAGCCGGGCCGGGTCCCCTGTGGGACCCCCACGGGAATTGCCTCCCCCGTGGCCCGGGGACAGCGGGGCACAGCGGCCCCGCTCCCGCCCGGGAGGTTCGTGGCTCCAGGGCTTTTGGGGGTGAACCTCTCTGATCTCTGCGGTTCGGGTACCGGGGATGTGCGTGTTGCCCTCGAGAGACAGCACCTGGATGTTGTAGTTTTATTTCCCCTTCTAATTTCTGGTCTCAGCGTTTTGTAATTCAATCAAGAAACTCCTTTGTGGGACCTGTGATGAAGAGAGAAGTGGGTTAGAAATTAAGCAATTGGTGTATTGATTTATCTGCATTTCAGTGGGTTTAGTGCATTGATTTAGTGCATTTCTGGGCTAATTAATATTTTTGCTGCTGTCTGCAGTCCAATTCTTCTGTGTGAGGCCAGTCTGAGCAGGTGACAAGGGGTGGAACAGGCTTGTGTCCTAATCACGGGTGTTTCTGTGCTGTCTTCATGAGCTGTCTGAGCTTCTGTTCCTGAGCAGCCACGCTTTACTTCTACATGTGGTTGTACCAAAATCAATATTTGTCCGCTGTGGGTTTTGCATAGGCGAGTTAAGGCTCCTGCCCACCTCCTGAGGCTGTGTCAGCAGGCTGGGGGAGCCCTGAGGGGAATTGCTTCCACATCTACTGTGTCCCCAGCTCCAGGATGAGGGCACATGGGGCAGCAGAAGCCCCTGTACAGCTGAGAGTCCCCATGAGCCTCCTGGAATGACGTGGGAGGGGGATAACCCTTGTCACTTCACTGTCTCCTGCTCCTTTTCTCAGGGCACTGCTGCCTTACAGTTTCCCCGTTCTCCCTGGTTGTGCTGGGTGGCTTTTGGAGTTATTTTTTTTGGCTGGTTGTGTCACTACAGGGACAGTGTCCCACCCTGTGAGGGCTGGTGGTGTGTCAGGGAGAGGAAACACCAGCAAAGCCAGGCTGTGTCAGGTCTGGGTTTAAAGTGCTGAGCTGATTGTTTTGGAGTGGCTGCCGCTGCCTTGGGCCTTCTGGGAAGTTCCTGGTAAGAGCTGGGCATCTGGAAGAGGCTCAAACCCAGCCTTTTGTCTTGAAACCAGTGCAGAGCCACCACTTTCTCTTTAAATTCAGCTGGGGAGATCACGAGAAAGGCTTTTGCTTGTGCTGGGAGCAGCAGAGGCTGCGCTGATTCTCTGCCAAGCCAGGTGATTTTAAATCCACATCTCCAGGATCCCTGCGGGGGCTCCTTTTAGGCTCTTCTGAAAAGTCTGGGGTCTGCTGGCTCAGGGTGGGTTCTGAGAGCCTGGTAGTCTGATGGTCCTCCCCAAAGGCTCAGCTTGAACCACTGTCAGGATTGAGTGGTGTGCACAGGTTCCTCATTCCACTCGTGTTCCTGTCGTTAAATCCCTGATGATGAGGGAGTGTGGACAGTTCTGCTCCGTGCTGGGATCCTGCCCCTCTGTTTGCTCTTGGCAAAGTGCTCAGGGTGAAACCCTGGAGTACAGGATTGTGTGGAAGCTCTTGGCCTCACTGCATCGCAAAGTCAGGGTCCTTAAAGCTGGAAAAGGCCTCCAAGGTCATGAGTCCATCCTGTGCCCCATCCCTACCTTGTCCCCAGCCCAGAGCACTGAGTGCCACACCCAGGAATTCCTTGGACACCTCCAGGGATGGGCACTCCAAACCTCCCTGGGCAGTTCCAGTGCCTGACTGCCCTTTCCATGGAGAAAATCCTCCTAATGTCCAATGTGAGCCTCCCCTGGCACAACTTGAGGCCATTTCCTCTTTCCTGTCACTTGTTCCCTGGGAGCAGAGTCATCAAATCAGAATGAAAATACAGAGGCAGTACAGAAAATATCCTAAAGCAAGGACTCAGAAACTGGGAGATGTGTTGGATGGAAAACTTGGGGTCTTGGGCTCTTCTGAGATTGGCTGGGACATCTGCAGGGCACAAGAGGAGCCAGTGTCCTGTGAATGTGGTCTTGGGGACATGCTCCAGGTCACTTGGTGTATTTATAGCAAAGCAGGAATGAATTCAGCTCTCCCACCTCCCTGTCACTGCTCCTCTTTTGGCCTGGCCTTTACTTATTCTCTGCCACCTTTCTGTGATAGTGGAGAAAACAGGAGGGAGAAATATCAAACTTTTGAAACTACTTGATATGGGCAGAATGAATTAGGGGACTGAATAGTGTTTGCAGTAGCAGGAATGCAGGGGATACTCAATTGGGAGGAGCTGCTGACCCCCTGGAAGGCAGAGAGGCCCCAGAGAGACCCTGACAAATTTGGGGCTGAGCAACCCCCAGCCATGTGCAAGGGCAAGAGTCAGATCCTGCCAGGGATGGGGCAGCCCGGGATGCAGGGACAGGCTGGGAATGAGAGGCTGGAGAGCAGCACCGTGGGAAGGGACCTGGGGGTCCTGGTCAGTGGCAAGTTGGATCTGAGGCACCGCTGAGTCCTGGCAGCCCAAAGGGCCGCCCTGTCCTGGGGGCAGCAGGCCAGGGAGGGATTGTCCCACTCTGCTCTGCCCTGGGGCAGCCTCAGCTCCAGTGCTGGGGCACTTTGGGCACCACAAGGTCAGAAGGGCCCAAAGCTGTTGGAGAGTGTCCCAAGGAGGGACACGGAGCTGGGGAAGGTCTGAGGAGCGGCTGAGGGCACTTGGCTCGTTCAGCTGGAGCACAGGAGATGAGGGGAGGCTCCTCGGGGCTGCAGCTCCTCCCGAGGGGAGGCAGAGGGGCAGGGGCTGAGCTCTGCTCTGGGACAGCTCCTGGAGCCCAGCGAGGGCTGGAGCTGTGCCAGGCCTTGGCATGGAGCTCAGGGAAAGGTTCTTCCCCCCGAGGGTGCTGGCACTGCCCAGGCTCCCCAGGGAATGGTCCCGGCCCCGAGGCTGCCAGAGCTGCAGGAGCGTTTGGACAGCGCTCTCAGGGCTGCTCAGGGTGGGGCTGTTGGGGGGTCTGGGCAGGGACAGGGCTGGGCTGATGATCCCTGGGGGTCCCTTCCAGCTCAAGATGTTCCAGGGTTTTGTGCTACTCAAAATGTGCCTCAAAGCAGATTCCCACTGGTATTCCTTCAGAAATTTTTCCCTAATCTGAGGTGGTGCAGTGTTTCAGACTGCAGTCACATTCAAAGGCATCGTGTTGTTGTCTGCCTGGAAAAACAGCACTGTTTGTGTTTGTGTCTTGGTTTGAGAGGGAAGTGGTGTCCCTGGAACTGACACAGGGCATTTTGTCTGCAAGATCCTGGTGAAGAAAAGCTCCAAATGTCTCCAGTGGACTCCTGAGTCATGTGCATTGGAGTGTGAACTTCAGAGTTACTCACTGACCACGGATGAGCAGAGTGGAAAAAGGAAGCTCACTTCCCACCAGAGTTTCCTGAGCTTGTGTGGGTTTTCCCTCCCTTCACAAGCAGTGGGTTATAGATGAAGAAGATCTCTGCAGTGGGTGCAGGGTGTTGGGCTTCACCTGTTCTCAATTAAACTGAAAATATCCAGGTGAATAGGGATCTGATTTACACGTTGGAAAGGGACTGCTCATAAGAGGGTGTTGTGAAGGGACAAGGGGGAATGGTTTCAAACTGACAGAGGGCATGGTTAGCTTGGATATTGGGAAGACATTCTTGGGAAGAAGCTCCCTATCCTTTTGCCAGGAGCTGGGAAGGTCAGCCCATCTCAGGAAGTGATTACCCAGTGTAAAACATGGCCTTGTGTGCTTATCCTTGCTGAAAGAATTGTTCTTAATGCTGCTTTGTGGATCCAAACCACATCTTTCTATAGAAGGGGGTGCTTCACCAGAATGCTACTTTGTCTGGGGGTTTTATTTATTTATTTGAGTTAAAACCTCTCCACAGCACCACAGGTCTCCTTGAGAGGAGGGCACAGGAAAACCATTGTTTGGCCATTGCAGGAAATCCATTGTCTTGCTCTGTCAAGCCAGGAATGTCCCCTTCAGTCTTTTCTTCTGATCCTTTTTCCAAACACCTCTCTGCAGCTGTAGGACACCAACACTGAAGTGCAGTAGCTAAAAAATCTTCTGAAGAAGAACCTTACTTGCAGATTCATTTTTCAGTAAAGGATTCCTCTCTCTTAGTGCTTTACTGTAGTTGGTGTTCATGGGTCATTTGTTCTCCCCCTGAAATTCAGAGATCTCAAGTGGGAGCAGCTGCAGAAGGGTGGGGTGAAGTTTTAATGGTGTTCTTAACCATCTTCATCCTTTGTTTTCTGTTCACCCATTTGAAAAATGCAAAGCAAAAGGCTCCCATTTCCAAACCATCAGTTACAAAACAGTGCTGGGCAGTGTTGGTGTTAAGGGACAGCCCTGAGGCCTCAGCTGTGGCAGGGATGGATCCCTGAGCAGCTCCAAGGGGACAGAGCCTCCTGTCCACACTCTGGGGCTTCCTAGAGACTGGTCCAGGAAAATAATATGTTCTCCTCTTTGCAAACATGTTTAAGCTTGTAAATCTCTGCAGGGGAAGAGCAGGCTGCTGTACAGTTCCTGGTGCTGTTGTCTCCACAGGCTGGGTTAGAGTAGCTCAAATTAAAAAAAAAAAAGAAAAGCAAAAGCAACCCAAGAAAACAGCTGTGCCAGTGCAAAACTCTGCAGCCTCCAGACCTTAGCTGGGGCACACGGGAGGACAGCACCCAGCTGCAGCAGAACCAGCTGCTGTAAATCCTGAGGGATTTGGGTACAGTGTGGCTGATCTGACCCCACTGCTGCTGCAGCTGCTGGTGGTGTTTTTAGGGGCAGATTTTAGTCTAGACTGCCTTAATTTCTGTCAGACTCCACAGTGCTGGTTTGCAGGGTTGGTTTGTGTGTTCTGTGTTTCCATTCTGGGATTTGCAGGTAGGGACACATGGTGTTTTTATCCTTAAGGAAGAAGGGGTGGGATTTAAAACTCAGCAAAGACCTCTCTGTGTATTTCTGTGGGATCAGCTCTGCCAAAATCAGCAACACGGCTGATGCTGGGTAAACTTCCCAGGATTTGCTTCTGCCAGAGCTACAGCCACGCTCAGTGGTGCTAACAGGAAGAATGAATCTGCATTTGTGCAGAATTTCTAAAAGAACAAGGGGTGTTGAGTTTGGTTCCAGCTGATTATTTTTTTGTTGAGCAGGAGTCTAGTGCCCAGCTAACAGGGATTATCTGTTTGTTCCAGGAGCTGGGAAGCACCACAGAGAGCCAAGAGCCAACAAATCATCTCAACACCTAAATGAGGCATTAAGTCTGGTGAGCTCTCCACATTTCTTCCAATGTATGAGCTCTGCTGGGTCCCACCCTGACCCGTGTGGCTGCCCCTGGGAGCTGCAGGTGTTCTGGCAGGGGCTCCCTGAGCATCCTCAGCCTTTGCCAGGCAGTGCCAGGGGCACATTTGTTTGCTGCTGGATAATACAAACCTTCCAAGTGGCTGAATGAGGTGCTGCCAGGGCTTCCTGTGCACAAGGAGAAATCAGGATCCTTTTTGGGAGGCACCACCCTTCCTCCTGAGGGTGATGGACACAAGTGGTTTGTAGTGGGAAGCCTGGGCTCTTGTTTGTCACACACTGGGAACATTCCCAGTTCCAGGAGGTTCTCTGGGTGCTGGTTAGTGACATGTGCTGACCTGATTTTGTTTCTCCAGCAGATCTATTACTCTGTCTGAGACCTCACCAGAGAACACAAGTATTAGAAATGGCAGGTAAGAGCACCTCAGGTACAGCAAGCAGGGAGAGTGGTTTCAGAGAGTTGTTCATGGTGCTGTGGTGGCTGTAACATGTCAAAAATGTGAACTGTGTCCCTCTCCCAGACCTTGGTGATCCCTAAAGCTCTTCAGCTACTTCTCTTGCCTTGGTCACATTCACTTTCCTGCTGTGTCCTGATCTGTCACCTGAGGTTCCTGCTCAAGTGATAAAGGTTCAGGTGTGACTTGCTTGAAACTTTTATGTGAGTGGAATTTATTCAGAAACAAAGTACATGAGAACAATTCCTTCTTTCCAGAGGCTTTCCACAGCGTTCCTAGCTGTGCTATTTACATTAGTCCATCTGAATTATACCTGCAGTGAAATTAGTAACAAAATTCCAGCTTTTTTTAAAATAAGAGGAAGTATGGAATTTGACTCCAGCTGCTGCTCATGGGTGATGCAGTTTGGTTTTTGAAAGCAGGGGATTCATTTGCTAATCAGATGTGTTGATCCCAGCCTTGATGGGAGAACCGCAGCACTCCAAGCTCTGCAGTCAGACATAACAGGGGATATTTTGATGTAATTTATTTTGTCTAATCCCAGAAGGAACCCAGAACAGCTGGCAACTGCAGGGTCTCTGTGTGGGAGGAGGTGGGCAGCAGCTGGGCAGCAGCAGAAAAGAGGTATAATCCCCAGCTTTGTGTACCTAGCAAACAATCATGGAGGTGTTGAGACCATTTTATGAGCTTGAAAAATGACAAACTGCAGTGGCTGCTTGATTTTGGCCCCACCACGTAGGAGCTCTGCACTGGGAGCTGGCAGCAGCTCTGCTGTCCATGACAGAAAATGGGAAAGAACAGAACCAAAGGAACAATCTGCAGCTTCAGCTGTTGAAAAGGAACAGAACAAAAGTTTCCTCGTCCCTCAAAAAAAAAAAAGAAAAAAGTCAGAGAATCTGCTTTTACTGTGTTTGATTAATCTTGGTCTTACTGGCTTCCCTGGAGACCTGTCCTTTCAGCTTTAAAAGCTGTGTCCCCTCCCTTTCCCTTGATCCAGCATTGTTAAATCCCTTTCTAGGCTGCAGGGACACACTGTGCAGGAGAAATCCCATTAGGTGTTTACAGCAAACAAAAAATTAATGCAGAGGAGTCCAAATTCCTGTGGACTTTGAAAGCATCCGTGGGCCATGGGATGGAGTGAGCAGTGGCGTTAATGTTAACCAGTAACACAAACCAGCTTGGAGGGCATCTGAATGAATGTAAAGTGGGTTTAAGGGAAAAGGGTGAGGAGGGGCAGAAGAGACTTGATGTTTGTTTTTATCAGGAGAAGTCAAATTCGGCTGGTGACTTCAGACATTATTCCATAGCTACTTCTGATGTACTCCCAGTGGGCGTTCTCACCATATTTTCTGTGTGAAAATATGCATGAGGGAAAGCCTTTTTCCTTCCTAAAGCCTGGCTGCAGCTCCAGGCTCTTCCCTGCCAACCTTCAAACAGAGCTGAGGAGCTGCTCCTGCAAAATGTCTCCTCAGCCGGAGATAATGGGAAGGGAAGGGGAACTCTTGTGCTGACAGTTCTTGTTCAGACATTTCCTCTTGTCTCCTGTGCCATTTGGAGGTTTTCCCAGGACATTCTTCATCTCTTCCTCTGGTTGTTTTTAATTCTGTTTACTGGGGCTGAAGGAGGCTAGAGACAATTAGTCACAATGCCCTGAAATCAAACTTTAATCAGCTCTGGAAGGCAAGAGCAAACATTCCCAAACATGTAGGAGCACACATCTAGGCACACACAGACAAATCCGGGAGCTGACAGCAGCAGAGGATTTAGGCATTTAATGACTTGATTTTAAAACAGAAATTCTTCTCAAGGTAGAGTTTTCTTCACCATATAGCTTTTGGCAGCATTTGCTGATTTATTGTCTCTGAATGCACTGCTTTTTCTTCTTCGCTTTTTTTTTCCCTATGGCTTAACCTTGCAGGAAAAACTTGAATGTACCCTTTTTCCATTAAAAATCTTGTGTGTTTTCAAGACAAGATAATTCCTGACACAGAATCATAGAATCACAAAATGGTTTGGGTTGGATGGGACCTTAAAGCCCAACCAGTGCCACCCTTGCCATGGCAGGGACACCTTCCACTGTCCCAGGCTGCTCCCAGCCCTGTCCAGCCTGGCCTTGGGCACTGCCAGGGATCCAGGGGCAGCCACAGCTGCTCTGGGCACCCTGGGAATTGCAGGAATTCCTTCCCAACTCTGTTTTATTTCCATGAACTGGATGATACCTGAATACACAATTCCAGTTTGGCGATGCTTTCAGGCACCCTTCCATATTGTCCCAGGCTACAACAGCTCCTAAGGCCTGACCCGTGGCCAGGACATGTTCCTGCCTACACAGAGCTGGTGGCTGAAGGTAAATCTGCTTGTCTGGACACTCCCCAGCTTTTCTTTCCTCTTGCTGTGGATTTCTGAAGGGTTGTAACTGAACACCTCTGTGCAGCTGTTTCCCCTAGATGCTGCTGACACCTCCCCCTTCCTGAGTAAGCTCATCCTGGAGCTTATTTAAAGTTCTTTTTTTCCTCACAGCACCTTTCACATAACTTCACACTGATGTGTAAAGGTGTTAAATCCACATGTTGTATTTGCTGGTTCCTATTCCCCTCTTTCAGCCATGTGCGTAGTATAACAAATGTCCTGTCCACTGCTAAGGAAGAAAACCAATATATTTGTGGTCCAGGGAGAGGATGAACATGCAGCACTGTTGGGAAGGTGTGGAGGATATAACACATTTCTTCTCCCAGCTGAAATCTGTGTTCTGTGTTCCAGAAAAGGTGAATAACTTCCCACCACTCCCCAAGTTCATCCCTCTGAAACCATGTTTCTACCAGAATTTTGCTGATGAAATCCCCATCGATTACCAGTTCCTGGTGAAGAGAATCTATCATGTGTGGATCTGTAAGTTGAATAAAAACACCTGTGCTGGAAAAAGGTATTTGTGTATTAAAACCCCATAGATCTCAGTGACTAATGTGTTTTAAAGTTTTGATATAACTTTATACCTGAATTTTAAGCTTCTGTGCCTTGAATCCTTGAGGGATCTTCAAGAAAGTAAGGTATCAATGCTGGAAAATCTAATAGTAAATCTGAGGGAGAAAGCAGACCATATTTGATACCTTTATTCATGTCAAATGATCACAGAATTCCAGAGTGGTTTGGGTGGGAAGGGACATTAAAGCTCATCCAGTGCCACCTCTGCCATGGCAGGGACACCTTCCACTGCCCCAGGCTGCTCCCAGCCCTGTCCAGCCTGGCCTTGGGCACTGCCAGGGATCCAGGAGCAGCCACAGCTGCTCTGGGCACCCTGTGCCAGGGCCTGCCCACCCTGCCAGGAAAGAATCCTTTCTCAATATCCCATCCATCCCTGCCCTGGCAATGGAAAGCCATTCCCTGTGTCTTGTCCCTCCATCCCTTGTCCCAAGTCCCTCTGCAGCCTTTTTGTAAACCCTATTTAACTCCCAAAAATAGCTACCTTAAGGAAATTCCCAGTTCCCCTAAAGTAAGAGGAATAGGAGAATTTTAGACAAAATAAACGTGGCCCATTTTCTGCTACCTGGCTCCCCAGCTCGCTCTACAAAGGCCAAAATTCCCTCTTATCATCACATTTCCCTTCCCAATGGAAGCAGTATCTTCTAGCTGCATACTGGCTCTTCCTTAGCTCTCCAGAGCCCCCCAAACATCCTGCTGGAGTTGGGAACTGATCCTGTCACAGCTGGTGATGCACTGATACTCTGTGTGCACAGAGCTCCTGGCCCTGGGCTCCTGTTGTTTGCCTCAGCCATTGAGAAACCAGGAATGAAAATTGACCATTCTTCCACAAGGAATGAAATCGGTGTGGCAGGCCTAGGAAACCACAGGGAATGCTTTGCAAGATTAAAAATCTTTTTGCCTTGCTTATCTTTTTTCCCCCCAAATGCTTGTCATCCTCTTTACCCTTCTCACTGAAGGAAAGCTTGTTTTCTGCCAGCTCTGCATTTGGTGGCGTGGCTTTTATTCCAGATGCACGGGATGTGTGTAGGAGAGAGATTTGTGTGCATAAATAATGGCATAATCCATGGCTCCATTGTTCTTTGGTTATGTGGAGCTGCTGCAATGAGCTCTGTAATTTTCTTGCCTGAAGAAGCTGCCTGTCCCTCCAGACTCACTGGTGCGATGATGTCGAAGCTGTAAAGCCGCCTTTGTCCTCCTGTCTCCCAAAACAAAGAGTCCCTCAGTCGAGTTAATGGCAGGCTGGAGGAGAGCCAGGGATTTGGGCATGGCCAGGAGAGCTGCCATCTGCACCAGGAGTTTCACATTTCCATCCCCTGCACTCAGGAATTTCACATTCCCATCTGCAGTGCACTTCCTTTGGGGGTCTCCCAGATTTTTTGGCGTTGCTTGGAGAGAGATGTGTAAAGGGAGGAAGGTAAACAAGAAAAGGCCGGTTTTGAAAAGTAGAAACACACAAGTCCTTGCTGGAAGGGTGATTGCTCATTACTTTAATTGGATGTGAGCTCTGGATTAAGGTGGAGGGAGTTGTGGGGAAGATTGTACCAGAGCTCCCACTGCTGGAGAACAAACTCGGACCTGAAGCACAGGGAGAGACAAAAGTTCCTTAAAACTTTGCAGATGCCCTTGGCTTGGTGTTGTTTTGTTGGGTGTTTTAAAATAAGCAACTTTTGGAGAAGAAACAGCTTCTGAAAATGAATATTTGGAGAAGTACAGCTAATTGATGTGTAAATGAAATATCAGAGATTCATGGAATCCGAGAATAGTTTGGGTTGGAAGGACCTTGAAGCCCACCCAGTGCCAGCCCCTGCCATGGGCAGGGACTCCTTCCACTGTCCCAGTGTGCTCCAAGCCCTACCCAGCCTGGCTTGGAACACTTCCATGAATGGGGAATCTACAAACTGTTAGTTTAAATACCTAGAATAAATTAATTTAAATAACTAATATTCTTCCCCCTAACATTAAGACACATCCAAAGCTTTGTTGGGTACTCAGAAGACATTTTTTTGCAGTAAGACAATGTTTTATTTTACTCTCAGACCAGAAGCAGCAGCTGGGTATAGGTTTTGTTCCCCTGAATGTGTTGTCAGTATGATTTCGTGCCCATAAAACCTTGCAGCTGTTTAGGACCCCCAGGCTGTGTGAAGGCAGGTGGGTCAGTGCTCAGGGGGAGAGGGAAGAGTCAGAAGCACCAAGGCAGTGATGAGCAGATGAGCTGCAGAGCCATGGCAGGGAGTGAAGTGGGGAATGGGAAGGGTTTCCTTGGCACAGGTGAAGAGAAATTCAGGGGTTTAATTTTGCCTGAATAGCTGAGGCCAAGGTCCAGAGAGTCACCATGAGTTCATCACCCGGCTGTGCTGGAGGGCCTTTGGTGTTTGGACCTTCCACCTTCTCCTTTCTCTGTGCTTGTTGATGCAGGTTACCACAAAGGGTTTGAAGAGTCACCACCAGTTTTCCAAAATAGGAGCTTGTAAATTGGCCTCTTTGAGCCTGGCAGAGCCTGGGGGGATGCGGGAACAGCTGTGGGGAGCCCCTGGCTTGGGGCTGACCCCCCTTTCCAGGGATGTGAGCTCCCAGAAAATGGGGGAGCAGCATCCTTTCATATACTGCTACCTAGTGCAGCACTGCTGTGCCCTGGGGGCCTTTGTCAACTGTTCCTTTTTATCCAAGTGACAGGAACAGAGGATGTGAAAAGGCCTCTAAGCCACCCCTGTGATCCCATATTCTCAGCTTGATTGGAGTTTGTTTATCCCCTTGCTCAAGGCAGCACTGCCAAGCCCCCAAGCTGATATCCAGGCTTCCTCAGAGGCCCAGGGAAGCAGAGAGCCTGCAAGGCACTGAGCTGGCTCAGAGATAGCTCCTGAGGCAGACCCGGCAAGCACAGAGTCATTCAGAGGCAGGGGCAGGGCTAGGGTCACCCCCCTCTCCTCTCACAAAAGGGTTTTACTATAAATGGAAATTAGACCTTACTCATAATTCATAATAACAGTGGCCTGAGTCTTGTATTGGTCACATCAGTTGCTACCTAAGCTCTCCATGCTTTGACAGGTTGTAAAAGAGTTCCCTGATCCCTGTGCTGCAGGATCCCTCTGGAACTGGATGTTCCTGTGCTCCCAGCTCCAGGTCACACAGGAGCCTGCAGCTCACTCAGAGCAGCTGCACTGCTGCCCCAGGGACCCTTCCCACTGTCACCCTGGGGGCTTCACAGAGTCCTGGGGTATCCTGAGTTGGCAGGGATCCACAAGGACCATCAGTCCAGCTCCTGGTGTTAACCAGGAGAGCCCAACAGCCCCACCCTGAGCAGCCCTGAGAGCGCTGTCCAAACGCTCCTGCAGCTCTGGCAGCCTCGGGGCCGGGACCATTCCCTGGGGAGCCTGGGCAGTGCCAGCACCCTCGGGGGGAAGAACCTTTCCCTGAGCTCCATCCCAACCCCCTAACGCAGCCCCAGCCATTATCTTTTGTTTCCTTTTCTCCCAAAATCCTGGAAGTGGCCCACCCCACGTTCTCTCCTCTGCCCTCTCCCCAGTTTACTGCATCACGCTGGCCGTGAACCTCATCGCCTGCCTGGCCTGGTGGATCGGGGGAGGCTACGGGGTCAACTTTGGCCTGGCCATCCTCTGGCTGATCCTCTTCAGCCCCTGTGGCTATGTCTGCTGGTTCCGCCCTGCCTACAAAGCCTTTCGGTGAGTGCCAGCCCGGGAGGTGCTTCTGGTGCACTTCCCTGGGGAAGTTTCCCTGGTTGTTACTGGGGAGTACTGCTGGGGGAGATCTCTCTGGCTGGGATGAGAGCACCTGATGTCTGAATGTCTTGTTTGCTTTCAAAATGAAGAAGGATGTGGCTACTTCTAAACACTAGACAGAGGACTGAGGGTCACATAAGATTGGAGGTGAGCAGTTTGGCATTTCTAAGAGGGCTAAATTAGTATTTTACTTAAATATCTCAAACTTAGCAGCACCCTCATCTCAGTGCAGCATTAAAATAGGTACTAATTTGGTAAAGCTTCATTGAGGCTTATTTTGATGGAAGACTATTATTAGTTTTAGAGAACTCTTCTGGTTCCTGTCTCCAGCTACTTGAGAGCTTGTCTGCTTAGCTGTTTAGATAAAAGCAGTTCCCTGGAGTCAGTCCTTCTGAAACTCCACAAATATTTAAAGCCATCCTACATTTTTGCTTTAATTAATAATAATTTGCATTTGCTGTGGACCATGAGGCATCACTCAAACATTAATGTGTAAAGCCTGACAGAGCTAGGAGAGTCCTGAGCAGTTCCAGCCTGACATCGGGAAAGGAAGGGCCTGCCTAGTGCCACCACCACACCCCACACACCAGCCAGGGGTTTGCCCCCTGAAGGTAAAGCTGTTCCTGGTAGGATACTCTGGATTTTGATTATTCACCAGACTCTGTGATGAGCTGGTTTGGACGGCAGCAAAAGCAGCTGATAGAAATAGGAGGAGACAGGTGGGTCCTGTCTAGCCCATGATAAATTAATTGTTTAAATGCGCTTCTGAACTGATTCTCTGTGTGCCCACAGCACTGGGCACTGGATGTTGGATGCTGTTAAATCAGCAGTGGCATCAGTGGAGTACAGGGGAGGGGCATTTCTGCTGGAAAGAGAAGGATTGGATTTGTCTCAAAGTTCCAAATGACGTGAAAATCCCAGCTCTGAACTCTTGCCCTGTGGGGCCGGAGTTTTTCCCCATCTCGAGCTCTGAAGCCCCAGGGCCTCCAAGTGCTGGAGCTCTGTTTAAAGAGGAATTTCCATTCTAAAGTCTGGGAAAAATTATTCCTCCCTGCTGACCTCCCCCGGGCTCCACAAGGGCCGTTTCTCATTATTCCTTGAACGTTGTTTGGATGTGTTTATGCAACGAATGCTGAGAGGTCCCCGAGGTTACTCTGTGCAGAGACTTGCAGTTAAAAAAAGACTCAACCCCAGGGACAGAGTGGGGAGCCCAGGGATCATCCCCTGGGACGGCAGATGGGGAGGGGCATGGAAATCACTGCAGAGGAACAGCACTGTTGGAATCACAAGTGGTGATTCCAGAAGCAAAATCTGCCCTACTTGTCCTGGAGGAGGCCACCCTTCAGTGCTGGCACCCTGTTCTGCGAGGATGCTTCTGTAAAGCGTTCGTCATCCCACTGCATCCCAAATTAAATTAGCTGCAGAGCTTTGGTGCTAGGGCAAAGCTGTAGCAAATCTGCACCAGAAAGCTGGATGAGAAATCACCTTTTCTCTGTATCCCCACTAATTCCTGCAGATCCTTTCAAATGAAGACTCCTCCAGCCCCTTCAGGTCGGAGTTGCAAGAGTCTGTTTGAAGGCTCAGCCTCGAGCCTAATCCTTGTTAATTGGATTCTGACAGGCCCCACTGTCAGCAGGCCCCTGCCTAAAGTATTTCTTTCTCAGTGCTGTACTCTGAGGTGGTATTTGAAGGGTGGGATTGTGAGGATACTCAAGGATAACAAATGTTCCAGAGCCACCATTTGTGACAGAGACCCAGACCAATATGGGCAGCTCTGAGGAGTGTGGGTCTGGCTGGAGGCTTCTCAACATGCCTCACCTTCCTCATCTCCTCCCAAGGCATCAGGGGCTAGAATTATAAAATTAACAATCATTAGCATAATAAAAATAATTAAAATAATAAGCATTTAAACACTTTCAGGGTTTAAGCAGGGGCTGGCAATGATTGGAGCTCTTTTCCTAACTCTCCTATGTACCAAACTGCCTCACAAGCACCTGAAGCTTTTTTTGTAGATCTGTAGATAAATCATTGGCCCTTTGAGTTCCTTAGAGTATGGGAATCATTTGTATCATTAAAAATGATAGTTGAAGGAACTTCAGATGTGCCTGATGTGGCTGGTTTGATGGCATGAAGATGTGTTTTGGCAGAGCCCAGACTTGGGCAGGGCAGTGCCGGGCCCCCAGTGCATCCATGACAGAGACTGTGAATGTCTCTGGTCAGCATCTTCCTTGGGGTCATTTTCATGCTAATTATTGTGCCTGCCTAAACTCAAGGACCTCACCTGTACATCCTGGGAATGAGGAGCCTTCAGAGATGGGAAGTGTGCCTGTGCTTTCAGGGTACCACCCACCTCTCTCATGGCTATGATGTACCAGTGCTGGATTATTTACCATGGGTGTGGGAACATGATGACAAACAGACACTGAGACATTCCCAGCTGGAATTCTCCTGCTCAGTGATCATTTTCCCTCTGACTGCCAGCATCAGGCCCCTGCATGCCTCCTTGCCAGGGCAGAGCTGGGCAGGAGCCAGGCTGGGCTGACATTCGGTCAGAGAATGATTCAGACTCTCTATGTAGGAGACTCATGTCACTGAGCCTCTCCTTGTGTGTCATCATACGTGCAATTCCTTGGGGAGAGCAACTGCAAGAGCCAGATTATTGGGAGACCATCTGTGCTGCTGGGTCATGGAGCTGTGTGCTCTCACTGCCAGGGAAGGGGGAGAAGCCTCCCAGCGCACAGCCAGGGAGGGAACCCTCTGGAGTCACCACTGTGGTGGGGTCAGACATGGATGTGGAGCAGCACAAGGTGCCAGTGCCCCCCTGACCTCCTTTCTTTCTCCACAGGTCGGACAGTTCCTTTAATTTCATGGCCTTTTTCTTCATCTTTGGGGCGCAGTTCCTCCTCACGGTCCTGCAGGCAATCGGCTTCTCCGGATGGGGAGCGTGGTAAGTGGGAATGTTCCAGCAGGCCCAGGAGCTCTGAGCTGTGGCTGCTTTCATGAACTTGGAGAGGCTGTGCAAGGTGGAGAGGAAGAAGCTTTCTCATTTCCCCAGTGGCATAGCTGGATCTGCTCTTGTGGTGCACAATTCAGGTTTTATTGCTGTGTTGGGCAGAAATCAAGGCCAAGTTGGATGGGACTTGGAGCAACCTGGTCTAGAGGAAGGTGTCCCTGCCTGGGCTTTAAGGTCCCTTCCAACCCAAACCATTCTGTGATCTGGTTGCTCTTTGTAGCCTCTTCCCTCAGTGTCCATTTCTTTTACCATGTAAGCAGCCCATGTCAGAACAACCCTCAGTGCTGGCAGCACACGGTGAGCTGAGTGTGGTGACTCATTGTTGGCCTATGAGAAGTACTGTGAGAGTTCTCCTAAAATAAAAGGGAGCTTGTTAGTGTCTGTCCCTGGTTGTGTTATAATTATTTGGCATTTTAACTTCCTGTCTACAGAGACTTGAGAGCAATTCCTGCTGAAACTACAAGTAATGGAAAGTCTTAGCACTCCATTTAACACTCCGGTTTCAGAATTGCTGATGTCTCACCTAGTTTTTGCCAGCAAAGGAATAGAGATGGAGTGTAAACACCAGGACCCTGGTCTTCCCTGATCCCATTTCTTGTCTCTAGATGCACAAGCAAAAGCACCTGGGAATGTCTTCTCTTCCCAAAATCCATGCAGCTGGCTGTCCCTTAAAGCTCTCAACTGGATTAGTGAGGGATATTGGCAAGTGACAGTTGAGATCTCAGGGAAATACCTGCATTGAATTCTGTCAATTGTCTTCATTGTTCATTTCATTTTCAAGAGTTTAGATGCTCCCTTATAATTTTTGGGTTATAAATCACAGAAATAGAGAATACTTTGGGTTGAAAAGGACCTTAAATACCATCCAATTCCACCCCCTGCCATGGGCAGGGACACCTTTCACTGTCCCAGGTTGCTCCAAACTCTGTCCAGCCTGACTTTGGACACTTCCAGGGATCCAGGGGCAGCCACAGCTTCTCTGGGCACCCTGTGCCAGGGCCTTATAAGCACACAAACAATTTTTCTGATAAAAAGGACACTTTGAAAAGCAGATTATAATGTTATTGTGTATATTTTTCTGTTTCTTCCAGTGGATGGTTGGCAGCCATCACCTTCTTCAGCACCAACGTGGCAGCTGCTGTGTTCATGCTGTTCCCTGCCATCATGTTCACGATGTCAGCAGTTGCAATGCTCATCTGCATTATTAGGGTAGGTTCTGCTACTGGAAGGTGTCCCTGCCCATGCCAGGGGAGCAGAATGAGATGAATTTTAAGGTCCCTTCCAGCCCAAACCATTCTGGGATTCTTCAGATCTCTCTCTGTCTTGGAGAGTCCCTGCTGTGTATCACAATAATGTGAAGAGGCAGCTCAGCAGCCACCACAAGCCATCACTGCTCTGAAAGGTTGCACAGTGCAGTCAGATTATGTCTCTCAGAGTTTCTGGAGGATAAATCTAGACAGCACAAGACAGCTCAGGCTGGAAATTGTCACAGTGTCATGTGGTGCTGTTGCTTTGTGTCATGCAAAGCAAGTTTCATGTGGAGCTACCTGAGGCTCTGTAAAGTGGGGAGGTTTGGATTGGATATTAGGAAACATTTATTTTCAGAGAAAGGATTGTAAAACTTTGGAACAGGCTGCTCAGGGTGGAATCATCATCCCTGGAAGTGTTCAAAAAATGTGTGGATGAAGCTCCTGGGGACATGGGTTAATAGTGAACATGATGGTGGAGCTGGGCTGATGGTTGGACTTGGTGATCTTGGAGGTCTTTTCCAGCCTCAGCAATCCTGTGATTCCATGATTTGTTGCTCTTTGGGATGGTCACTGGTGAAGCATCTGCAGTGGGGACCAGGTGACAGGGTGGGAATTGGGTCTCTGCAGAAACAAGGATTTGTAGTAGGACTCTCTGGAAAGCTTTGGCAGGCAGGGAAGACAGAAGCTCTGTGGAAGCAGTGCTGTTGGGTTCTGTATTGGAGAGTTTCAGCCCCCTGGCCTGGGCTGGCTGCCTTGCTGTGGGATCCCCCACCTGAATTCTGGGCATGCAGCTAAAATGCTTTCAAGCTTTGGGTTGATATTCTCTATCTGCACCCCTGTTCACTCTATTACTGCATTTTTTGTGCTTTGTTCCTCGGAAATTCAGCTCTTCACAGAGACAGGAACAAATCCTGTTGCCAAGTGACTCTGCAGGGGCACAGCTCTTTGCTCCTGGAGCTGACTCTCCTCTTGTCCTCTCTTTTATCCCTTAGGTACATAAAATCTACCGAGGGGCTGGTGGAAGCTTCCAGAAGGCTCAAGATGAGTGGAACAGCGGCGCATGGAGGAACCCTCCCAGCAGGGAGGCCCAATACAGCAATTTTTCTGGGAACAGCCTGCCAGAGTATCCCACAGTGCCCAACTACCCCTCTGCAAACCAATGGCCTTAAGCAGCAACAGCTGCAAACTGCCTGGAGTCTCTCCTTTTTGGTCTTTTTATTCTTGTTCTTGGAAAAGATCATTTGCATTCCCCCCCCAAGCACCCCACTCATCTCGGGGACCTTTCTGGTTCTTGCCTCCTGATCCCTGCGGAATATCTGTGCTCTCAGCCCTTCCCACCTCCGCTGCACTGCACGGCCATGGCAGAAAGCTTTTTGTTTGCCTTGAGTCACCAGTATTCGCCTCGTTGCAGAGTGAGAACAAACCCTTCACTGCCCTTGCTTGAGGGAATCCTCTCCTGACCATCCCTGGAAATGGCTCAGCTTCCCCACGATGGCAACACTCCCACAGCTGCTCCTGCCCCTGCTCCTGCTCAGCTTCCATGGAATGCCCAGCACAGCACCACACCGTCTGTAGCAAAAGCAATCAGAGCATTAGTAGCAACTGGTGTTTACTCTCCTGGATGAATAATGTGGAATTTTTCACTCTAAGGGAAATGCAGCACTTAAATTATTTGGTACTGGTGACACTGAAGTGATTTGTGGAAGCTCCACCCTCCGTGGGAGGATCCCTGCAGGTAACAGAGGTGCCCTGGGTGAGTCCTCAGATGGGAAGTCCCCACAAATCCTCCTTTGCCTGGCTCAGACTGTTGTGATGCTACAGCTCCTGCTTTCCCTGCTGCCAAAACCTCTTGCTGGATCTGTGTGTTCCAAAGGTGCAGATTCATCTCCTTAGGTTCATGATTGCTCGCTAAAACCTGAATCAAAGCCCAGTGGAAACCAGTGCAGAGCTGACACTGGACCTTGGTGATGTTCACCCTGGTACAGGGACTCAGCATGAGATCTCCCCACCATGTAGCTTCCAGCCAGGTTTTGTGCTGGATGCAAGATAATGATTGATCTCAGTGCTGGAGCCCCAGTGTGGTTTGGAAATGTTCTGTTACAATGAATAGTTTAGTTCTGCCTTTTGCTGGTGTAGCTGAACTTCAGATATTACAGTGGGGTCTGGGAGACCAAGGGAAGCTTGTTAGTCCTCATGGCTGCTCTTGGCTCTGTGGCTGGCAGGACTTCCATGAGAGAGAGATTCCTGCCTTTCTCCCAACAATCAGCTGAAGGGATGTTGAAGCTGTTGAGAGGGATTGTTTTCCCACAGATTATCCTCCACCTTGTCATTCATCTCCATTTTGTGCCTGAGCCATCCAATTCCCTGTGTCCTACAGCGATCCAGGCAGCAAAGGCTGCAGTTTCCTTTTCCCCCTCAGCCTGCTGTGAATTTTTTAAAACCTGTCCAAACTGGGAGGTCAGTTTCCAATTTTTTTATAGGGAGTGAGTGTTCCAAGTCTTTGGCTCTCAAAGTTTTGACCAATGATCCAGAGTGCTCCGTTTGGGAGACTTAGGAGGGGTTGGGCACCCTGGGGATCAGACCCAGAGCCTGCTGCCTTGGCAGGCTGTTCATGGGGTTATTTCAAATTCCCAAATTTGCACTGAGCAACTGGAAAACAGAATTGGCTCCTGGAAAGGGACAGGGACATGGTCCTAGCTAGGTGGAATTGATTTGCAAGTGATCTTTTGAAAATTTTTCTCTACATGTGCCTTATCTAATGAAATCACGGTTCACAGAGGAGAGCTCCTGCTTCCCCCTCACCCCTGCAGAATTCCCTGTTTCCTCACTAACTCGTCCTGTGTCACACTGTAAATAATGAGGGAAGCACAGTCTGGAGTCTGCACGACCCCTGTGTTACCAGGGCCAAAGCAAAAGCAACCCCGGATTTCCCCAAATTTCTGTTTACAGCCACACTGACCCCTGCTGCAGGAGCAACCCTCCACTGGCTCTGGGACGTGGAATGTGCTCCCAACACCAGGGGTTTTTCCTGGAGAGTGTGCAATGTGCTTGGGAGGACGAGCTTTTGGAGCCTTCTTAACAGAACATGACCTGATGGCATTGTGAAGCTTTTAGGTGCCTTTGTCTAGTGTCAAGTGTAATTTTAAGTGTTCTTTGTGGCTTGCCATCGGAGTGATGAAAGAACTGCCTGGCGTTGACTCCCTGGAAATACGATGGATGCACCACGGGGTGAGGGTCAGCGGGGCTGCAGGTGGGATTGGCCACACCTGGGAGCCCCTCACCCATGTCCCTCAGTCAAGCCCCTCACCATCCTCAGCCTCTTGCCAAAATTCTTCAAAACCATTTGATACCTGCCCCATTTCAGTGTGTCAAGTTGGAGGTTTTGAAGGAACCAAGAGGAGAAGCGTTGCTGGGGACTCCACATCCTGCTTCTCTTTGGGATTTTCCCCTTGGAGAATCTGGGGGCTGTGTTGAAGCACCCACCCTCAGTCACACTGGAAATGTTTGATGAAAGGAGAGGGGGTGCCTGGGAGCCTGCCCACCAGAATGGTTGGAGCTGGACACCAAAATCACACCCCGTTAGGCTGCACTGCCTGAGATCCCCGTGGAGATCAGTGCACCTCAGGTGGCAACTCCATCTCATCCCCTCCCTCCTCCTTGATGCCAGAAACCGTAATTCCAGAAAGTTGACCCAACACGCTGCCTGAACAAATGGCTTAATTTTTTTCTTTTTTTTTTTTTTTTTGGACTCCTCTGTATGTTTTTAAATGTTTACATTAGATTTCTAAAAGTTCTTAACACCATAACCCGGCCCTGGCTCCTGGTGTGGTCGGGCATCACGTGGCGTGTCTGTGTGTGATGTTGCATGTCACCTGTGGAGCTCTGGGTTTTGTTTGTGTTTTTCTCTTGATCACAAGACAATAAATGCTCATCCTGTGCTTGATGAGGAGAACTGGCCGCATCAGAGAAGTGTCTGTTCCTAGGTAACCGGAGTTATCTGGCAGAGGAAAATGGCAAAATCTCTGTGTTCCTCCAAAGTCTCCCACTGCATGTTGTTTTTTCTGTAAAAGAACAGCACATCGATGGATGAGGCTCATCCTCTGTGCTGGGGACTGGTGTGAGTGGCTTGATGTGGTCTGTACTCTTAGAGATGCCTCATCAGCTTTGACCAAAGGTGTTGTCATTGTTCCCATCTTCTAACAATGGGATTGGAGGGCAGAGGTATGGAAAGTCCATCTCCCAAGCACTGGGATCATTTGTGTGGCCTTTGCATGGTGCAGAGAGCCCCTGGCAGTGCTGGTGTCTGCTTTCCCCAGTTACTGCCTGGGAGGAGACTCTTACCCCTGGAGTAAATGGGCTTGGACAGCGAAGGTGAGTTGAACCCATTCAGCATATAGCTGAATTTCTTGCCCAAAATGTTTTTCCAAAGCTATCCCAGAATCTCAGAGTATTTGTGTTGGAAGGGACCTTTAAAGCCCATCCCATTCCACCACCTGCCATGGCAAGAACTCCTTTCACTATCCCAGGTTTGTACAAGCCCCAGTGTCCAGCCTGGCCTTGGGCACTGCCAGGGATCCAGGGGCAGCCACAGCTGCTCTGGGCACCCTGTGCCAGGGCTTGCCCACCCTGCCAGGAACAATTCCTGCCCAATCTCCCATCCAGCCCTGCCCTCTGGCACTGGGAGCCATTCCCTGTGTCCTGTCCCTCCAGGCCTTGTCCCCAGTCCCTCTCCAGCTCTCCTGGAGCCCCTTCAGGCCCTGCCAGGGGCTCTGAGCTCTCCCTGGAGCTTCTCCTCTCCAGGGGAGCACCCCCAGCTCTCCCAGCCTGGCTCCAGAGCAGCTGTGGCCTCTGGACTCATTCCCACAGGTCCATGTCTTTCTTGTGTGGGGGCCCTAGAGTTGGACACAACACTCCAGGTGGAAGTATGGAAATCACCATATTGTGTCATACCCCAGCTCCACTCCATGGCAGATATTTAATCCTGGAAGAGCCATTTCCCTCACAGCTGTTAATGTGATATCTGCTGATCTCAGTGTCTTCCCTGTCTCCAGAACCCTGTGCCAGGTTCCCCCTGCCTGGCCCTCACCATCCTCTCTCTGACAGTGGTTCCCTACAGCTGCTGCTGTGCCCTGATGTGTTGAGCATGAGGCTGAATTGGATTTTCCTCAAATTCTTGCTCCGGGGCCTCAAAATCTGAGCATGAGGCACATTTTAAGCTCCTGCTCCAGCTGTTGCCCAAGCAGGACTTGGCACTTGGAATGAGTTGGGTTTTTTGGTTTGTTTTTTTTTGCCTCTGCTGCAGGAGGACCAGGCAGGATTTGTCAGGAATTCACCCAGATTCAGGAATGGGGGTGGTTGTGCAGCCAAGCTTGGACCCCCACCCTGAGGAGCTCCCAAAAAGCTCTGGATTCTGCATCAGGGTGTGGGGCACACTGTGAGGGCCTGGATTTTCCTTTTCTCTGGTTCTTGCTGTGTTTCTGTCACTCTGCAATTCCAGCTGGGAAGATGCTGCCCACCTGCCCTGGACCTGCTCATTCTCCTGTTCTCCCATGCAGTCACAGTGGTCCCTTCATATTGTCTGCTTGTGAACAAGCCCAGAGTGTCTCTTGCCCACAGGAGAGGGACAGGGCTCCTGGCTGGATGCTTTCCTGACAGAAATTCCCTGGCTTTTCTTGTCCCTGTGCTGGTTCCATGGCATGAGCTGGTCGTGTCTCTGCAGGCCTTTGGCACACCGTGTGAGATCTGCCTTGAAATAAAATCCAAACTCATTTCTTCCCTCCAGAGGGTGGTTCAATTCTCCAGCCAAATGCCTGAACAACTTGTGAGTTCTCAAAGTGTGTGAAATCACCACAAAATTGCAGGGGTGGGGGGTGGGATGGGGCAAATAGGAAAGGGAGGGTTCCAGGGGGATTTTATCCTCTCCAGGAGTGATTTTATCTTCCTCAGGGGTGATATTATCCTCTCCAGGGGTGATTTTATCCTTTCAGGGGTGATTTTATCCTCTCCAGGGGCTGGACATGTATCACAGCACCTCAGCACTCTCCTGAGCCAGGCCACAACACGGGAGCAGAATTTTCCTGATGTTCTAAAATCAGCTTGTTTTGTAGGAGCAAACACCCACAGGAAAAAGTCCTCCAGCCAAACGTTGTGGGGAGAGCTTTTCCCTGGAACACTTCTGCAACAGGAGAAAAAACCAACTCAAGCAGTTGGAAATGCTGAAATGGTTACTTGGGGTGATGCTGGTGGCTGGACCTGATTGTCCCCGAAACCCACACAAATTCATTTGTGTATTGTCCCAAAATACTTTTGGGGTGCATCTGCTCCATGCTGTGAAGATGTGACCAGCAGGGTCCTGCAGGGGTGTCCCCTTCCTGCAGCCTTACCCTGAAAGCCTCAGACTTGGGGGTTTTAGAAAAAAGGGGTGAGAAAGAAACAAAATGATCCTCTGGCTGTGCCCTCCTTCGCTGAGGGAGTACTGGGGTGGAGTGTTTGTCCCCAGGTGAGCAATCAGAAGGAAATGAAAGGCTTTAGGAGGTGGCAGTGGGGTCTGTGTCCCTGCTCAGGACACCTCACAGCAGGTGATCTCAAAAAAAAAAAAAAAAAAATCTCAAAATTAAGGAAGTCTCAAATTAGCAAAGCAAAACCACTACAAAAAATTAATATTTCCGTTCAGTTCAACCCAAAACCTACACGCTGTCCCAGCAGATGCCACAATCCTGGAGCTCTGTTCCCTGCACGGCAGAGGCTGTTTCCCTCAGTGGCTTTGCTCGGGGCGATGTCCCCAAGAAGGTGACAATGCCTGTGAAATCCCAGCCCGACGTCCCCCTGTCCCGCTGGATGGGGTGCCACAGTCCCTGTCCGGAGTCTGCCCCGCAGGGCCTGGAGAGCAGATGGATGTGGGGGTGAGGGAACTGTGCCCCAAAAAGGGGCTGTACCCCCGAGCAGGGGCTGTATCCAAACACGGGGGCTGCACCCCAAAACAGCGATGTACCCCAAAACAGGGGCTTTACCTCAAAACAGGGATGCACCCCAAAACAAGGATTTTACCCCAAAACGGGGATATACCCCAAAACAGGATCTGTACTGCAAAACAGGGGCCTTACCCCAAAACAGGGATGTACCCCAAAACAAGTTTTACCCCAAAACAGGGGTTTACCTTAAAACAGGGCTGTACCCCAAACCAGGGGTTTTACCCCAAAACAGGGCTGTACCCCAAAGCAAGGGTTTTACCCCAAAGCAAGGGTTTTACCCCAAACCAAGTGTTTTACCCCAAACCAAGGGTTTTACCCCAAAACAGGGCTGTACCCCAAACCAGGGGTTTTACCCCAAAGCAGGGGTTTTACCCCAAAGCAGGGCTGTACCCCGAAGCAGGGGTTTTACCCCAAAGCAGGGCTGTACTCCGGTGCGGCGCTCACCCCCATATCAGGCCTGTCCCCTATAACTGGGTCCATACCCCCATGCTGCTCCCTGCAACAGGCCCGTGCCCCACCCGGAGGACGGTGACACCCAAATCGCGACAGCGGCGCGATAACCCACACCGGAGCCACATCCACCAGTGGGGTCGGACCCTACAGGGCACCCCACAGCGCGGTGCGCTCCCGGTGTGCGGCCTCCAGCCCCGCCGGGCGCCGAGGCAGCGCGGGCCCTGTCGCGGCCGCGGCGCCGGGCAGCGCGGGGTTAACCGGAGCTGCCGTAAAGCGCGCGGCGCTGCCGCAAAGCCGCGCCGCCGCCTGCCGGCCGCTATTCCCGAACGCGCCCTACGCCAGCGCCGCTGCGCCGCCACCCTCGCGCCCGCTGCGCTTGCGCCGCGCTCCGCCCCGCGGCCCGTATTCACGAAGCCCGACTGCGCCGCTGGCGCGCGGGCGCGCACGGGCGCGGCGCGGCTCCTACGCCGTTGGCGCAGCGCGGGCCGTACGCCGTTGGCGCAGCGGCGGAGGGGAGGCGAGCGGGGCCGGGCCGGGGGCGCCGCCATGGGGGAGCGGCCGCGGGGCAGCGGCGCCGCCGCCCGGCGCTGAGGGACCGCCGAGGTAACGCCGGGGGAGCACCGGGGGACGGCGGGGGCCCTGCGGCCTCGGCTCCGCTCGGCCGGCACCGGGGAGGGGCGGCCGGCCCGGGCGGCGCCGCGGGCGGGGGCGGCGGGGCCGGGGCGGTGGCGGGGGGTTGAGCGGCGGGAGCGGCCCGCGGAGAGGAAGGGTCTGTGGGGGCGCCGGGGGAGGCCCCGGCTCGGCCTGGGGAGGCCGCCGGGTGGCGGGGCTGAGGGGGGCCGGTCTGGGCCGGGGGAGGGTGGGGGGCTGTGGGGGCCAGGCTGGGATCGGGGGCTGGGGGAGGCGTTGGGGTCGGGCTGGGCCGGGATCTGAGGGCCCGGGGTCGCCTCGCCCCGTCCCCTCCCGGCCGTGCCCGGTTCGTGGCCCCGGGGAAGGGGTGCGAGCCCCCCAGGCCGGTGGGCGGCGGGGATGGGGTCGGATGGACCCCGCCGAGTCCCCTCGGCCCGCCCCGGCCTCGCAGGATGCTGGCTCCTTTGTATGTGGCTTTCCTCTCTCCAGAGGCCTTGGGAAGTGTTTATTTGGGGAAAGGACCGTGCTGAACCTGGTATTTAAAACGGCTTTTTTTTCTCCAGCGAAGCGGGTGAGGATGAATGTGAGAAAAGGGAAAAGTGCCCTCCCCCTCCTGCCCCCAGCAGACAGGAGCCGACTCGAGCTGGTCTGAGGTTTGCAAATGAGGAGCAGCTCTGCCGGGCAGGCCCGTGGCTCCTGTGGCTGGCTGGCAGGAGGGAGCTGGGTCTGCATCTCGGGGAACAAACAACGGGAAGTTGTGGGGTTGGTCAGGAAGGTGCCTTTTCTTTTGTGCGCTGGGCAACATGAAGACTTGCCGTGTTTGGTGTGTTTTAAAGTTAAAAAGCAAAGTTTCACAAACCCCTTTTGAGTTGCCATGCTATCAGTCCATTCCAAAGAGTTCGAGTTAGCCTGGACCCAGGTTGAAAGGTGTGTAAAACCTTTGGAAGTTGCCTCCTGAACTAATCTGTTTGTTTTCCTTCCACACAACAAGTGGTTGGAGGTGTGGAAGTGCATTCTGAGGAGTGTGTGAGTTCACCTGCCAGCCAGGCTGCCCTGTCAGGCTGCCACACATGGTGTGCCCCCATCTCCCCACGGCCAGCACACAGGTTTAAAAATTGGGCCTTATGTAACAGATTGGAGCAAACGTTTGGTGTTTGCCAGTGGTCTGACAAAAAATTGCTGCAAATTAGGGCAGGAGGCCTCCATGGGGAGCCTTTGCTGTGGCAGGATAGGCTTGGCTGCTGTGAGGAACTTGCCAAAGATTTGTTGGTTTTGTTTTAATTTGGTATGTTGCAGATAGGGACGTTGTTTGGTCAGTGTTTTACCACTCCTGAGCAGCTTTGGGGTGCTGGGAGGGTTGTGTTGCTGACTGGTCCAACACCAGCATGTTCAGGTCTGTTCAGGGAACACGAGATCTGGGGAGCCCCCATATCTGAAGGGGGCTCAGCTCCCTCAGCCTGGAGAAGTGGCTGCCCTCTTGTGCCTTAGGGTTTGATCTCCTCCTCGTTAGCTGACAGCTCTGAGGCCTTATAAATCACTTCAAAATCACTTGTATGGCTCCTTTGCCAAAGCAGCAGCTGCTCTGCTTTGCCCCTGCATCCTCGGGGTGCAGCTGGTGGTGGTTTGCAGGGCAGACCTGGTGTCCAGCAGCTTTCCCAGGCACACTGGATGGAGCTGCGTGCCCTGCCCTTGCAGCGTGGTGTGTGTGGTGATCTGGGTGCAGCTCCTGGGCGCAGGGAGCGGGCCCTGGCAGCTCGGCAGCTTCCTGGGCGCCGCTCTCCGGAGCAGCTTCACAGTGGCCCTCGTTTTGTATTCCATGTCAGAGCTCCTGTGCAGCCCGGGTGTTGTCAAAACTGTTAATACGGGAGTGACTCAGCGGATCAATGGGAATGACATGAGGGTTGTGCTCGTGGGCAATCACTGTTTCCTCCCGCCCTGCAGCCCCACTGGGCTGGAAGACACAACGTCTGAGAGCAGCTGCCAATAAACATCTCTGCTGGACTGGGGCCTGGCTGTGCTCTGGAGCTGTCTCCCCCTGCCCACCCCCTCCCCGTTGTTTTCCTAGCTAGGAGGAGCTGGGATGAGCTCTGCTGGAGGAGCACTCCTGTGCTTGGCTGGTCCCCCCCAGGTTGATCTGGGGCACTGCTGCAAGGCCCAGGCCCTGTGCAAGCCAGGATGGGTAGGAAGCTGTTTATCCCTACCTCCTGACAGGAACTGCAGCCCCACAGTCACTAAAGACTTGGTGTGAGGGGTGAGGAAGCCTCAGCAGCCCCTGATGTGCTGTGGTGGGGTGTGCAGGAGAGCTGCAGCCCCTGGGTGGGGAGGAGACCCTCCCCTCACTCTGCAGGGCTGGCACTGTGGGGTTTGGTACCAGAGGGCAGTGGCCTGGTTTGCCCTGTGCTGCTCCTGCTGCAGTTTGAGGTGTCAAACCCTCTTCCCTTGTAGTGCTGCTGAGCAGGGACAGACTTGGGTGCCAACAGGGAGCTTCCTTCGTGTGTTTGCCTCGGCTTTTTGCTGAGAGCCTGTGGGAGCAGCTCTGCCCACAGCCCTGTAATTGGGCTCTGACTGGGCAGACGTGGCTCGTTGTGGGTGCAGTGAGAAGCTGTGAACCTGAGCCTCCTTCCTTGGCCCTGACGTGGTGTGACCTGGAGTCTGCTTCAGTCCAGCTCTACCTGTGAGCTGGGAGGACAGGGAGGGAGAGCAGGTCCCAGCAGCTCTGGGGTTCTGCTGGAGAACAAGTCATCTTCCTGTAGCTGTGTGAATAGATTTGGGGTTTTGTGAGAGGCTGTTTCTACTTCCTGCTGGCAGTTGCTGTCTCTGGTAGATATGTCGCTGTAGAGGAGCAACAGCTTTGGTTGTGAGGGAGGTAAAAAATGATTTTCTGCTGAGGCAGCTGAGTGTGGAGAATCAGGGTCCTCTGTCAGGTTCACGCCAGCTGCCCTCCTCCTCCTGAAGAATTCTAAATTCCTGGCCAGGCTGTAGCCCTGAAGCCCTTCCTGTGGGCAGCCCCTCCCTTGTATGCTACATTGATGCAATATATCTAATAACTGGCTTTGAAAAAGCAGCCTGTGCATCAGGAACTGGAGTGGCAGGACAAGGAGGAATGGCTTCCCCTGGCAGAGGGAGGGTTAGATGGATATTGGGAGGAAATTCCTGGTTGTGGCAGTGGTGAGATGCTAGCACAGATTACCCAGAGCAGCTGTGTTTGCCCTGTCCCTGGAAGTTCCAAGGCCAGGTTGGATAAAAGGAGCACCCTGGTCTAGTGCAAAGCATCCCTGCCCATGGCAGGGGATGGAACTGGATGAGCTCTAGGCTCCCTTCCAACCCAAACCATTCTGCGATTCCACTCTGAAGTCTTCCCCCTGCCTTATCTGTCCTACCCTGTGAGGTTCCTGGGTGACACCCATGGTGCTCAGAGCTGTGGCCCCCTGCTCACAGGCCCCCCAGCCCGGTGGGGGCAGGAGGGAGGGTGGTGCAGTGGCTGTAAAACCACAGGATGTCTCTGCCTTCCGCTCACCACATTCAGAGCATGGCAGCAGCAGATCAGCACCCACCCCAAGCCCTGTGTGGTGTGGGAAATGGCTCTTCAGGTAAGCGGAAACTTCTAGGTAAGGCTTTGCAGCGTGTTTCAAAATGCTACATGGGGCAAGGAGTCTCTGGTTTCATCCACCACCCTCAGTAAGGAGAGTTTGCTCCTGCAGTAGAGGAATTCAATTAGTTCTATAAAGACTTTAAATTGGCTTCTTTGGCTCCAGCGAGATGGTGGATAGGAGTTCAGTGTGTCTCCAGGAGGATCTCCCAGTGCTGTGGTGTCTGAGTTCTGCTGGGAGGTTGGTGGCAGTGGCCTTTCCAAGTGCTGCCCTGCTGACACCTGCCTTCCACTGCATCGGGCCCCTGGAACTTGAAATATTGCAGCAGAATCATCCTCACTCAGAGGAAACACTGGTCTCAAACCCTTGTGGTGACATGAAACCAGGTGCTCTCACAGTCCTGTCTGTGAAAGGCTTGCACTGAGATGGTGACATGGGGGAAGCCCAAATTCCTGCCCAGAGAGGTCCAGCTGATCTGACCCCAGGTTGGGGAAGGGTCCCTGTGCCACAGGCAGCAGAAACACACCCACTGGTGCCTGGGGATCATGCTCTGAACGTGAGCTGGGCTGTGCTGTGTGTTGTTTAGTGTCTGCAGGGCAGGGGTGGCAATAAGTTGGATGTGAGAGTGGGATTTGGGATGAGCCAGGACACTGTTGCCTTGGAAATAAGGTGCTCATTGGCCTCCCAGGGTTCTGGAGACAACTGGAGCCTGGAAGAAAGGAGCGTTAATTTTTGAATCATTCATTTTTACATGTCCACCAAGCAAAGAATTTCCTGTAGCCCTTTGTTACTTAATGTTATGTAATGCTTTTTAATGAGACAGGCCTGGCCTTTGCTTTCCCAGTGGTGAATGAGACGGTTGGCAGGTGATGCACCAGCTTTGTCACCCTGAGAGAGATGTTCTTAAGTTAATAAACAGGGCTTAAGGTTGAGCTTGAACTTGGATTTTGTGCAGCTTTCCTTTGGAAGAGCTTTGCAGCTGAGCAGTTTGTGCAGCAGGAGTGGTGCTGGGAGGGGTGTGGGGGTTCCCTGGGAGCACAGCCAAGTCTCTGGGGGTTTATTAATCTTCCCAGGCTGGGGGCTGCAGAGTCTTGCTAAGAGGGGCTGCTTGGGTGTGGGTGGCTGAACGATGGGCTCAAAAAGGTCAGTGGAAATCTTATTTAAACCCCAACAGAGCTGTGTTTGTGCTACAAAAGCTCCATTTTTGCAGACTCTGTCCTTGCCCAGTGTTTTCAGGTAAAAAAATCCTGCTGCTTTTGAGGTAGCACCGAGGTAGAAACAACAAAGCAAAAACCCCTTTCTCTTATCCTTTTTTTAGCAGGGACTGTTGGCAGTGATGAAGTTTATACTCTGCTTGGTTTCCCTGGTTTGATGTGGGGAGAG